CATCACCCACCCGCCCCGGACACGAGAGCCCCGCAGCCCGGAACGTGCAGCGCGGGTCTCGGCGACCCCTCTGCCCCGCGCGGGTCGTCTCTGTTGCGATTAAGATGCTCCTTGCGAAGCGCTTCAGAAAGAATCCCCAGGGAGGCGACAACGGACCTTTGTGAAGGCCCTGGATCGAGGGGGCACAGCAGCCTCCCTAGGGCTTNGGGAGAAGGAAGCGGGAGACCGGTTATCCAAAGCAAGGCTGTGCCTTCCTGAGCTGACAAGACTGGAGCCGCAGGCGTCCTAGAGCGAGGTGGGGAAGCTTGGGGAAGGGTCTCCCTCAGATACCTGCCCCTCATGTGCCCTCTCGCTTCCAGAGAAGGAGCCCCCAGAGCAGCAGGAGCCCCCACAGCAGCCTTCCCCTGGAGCTGGGAGCAGATGCTCATTAGGGGTGGGTTTGAGCCCTGATGGGCACCTGTCTCATAATGGAACAGTACAGACTGCTGGCCCCTCTGCTGGCCTCAGTAGTCCCCCTTGAGAAACCCAAGAGGTTGGTGGTTCGAGAGCTCTGGGCTGCTCTTGGGGCTCAGTGGAGAGCGGTGGGTCCTGTCCCTGTTGCTGTTAATCCACCCTGCCTGTGCTGCTGTGAGCCCCTCAGCGTCTGGCCTTGCAGACTCACTAGAGTGCCTTGTACAAGTTCTGAGAAGCCATTTCTGTCCCAAATTTCAAGTGGGACCGAATGTGTCTCATTTTCCACTCCTACAGCATCTAGTCAAGAAAGGGAAGGAGGGACTGGCCTCCTGGCCCACTTGCCATCACCAGGGCAGCCGATCATGTGCTAGCCACTGTCCTGCAGACTCCAGAAGCCCTAAAAATAGTGGGGCTCCTTACCACAGGCATCCTAAAAGAGACCGGATTTGACAAGGTGGCATTCCTGAAACTCATCTTTTGACAAGACTCCTTTCCCCCAAAGATTCCCAGTCCTGGGAAGCTCCCCCACCACACACAGTCCAGTCCTCTCACTGCCCCAGTGCCCCCCCCTTGAAGCTCAGACACTGGATCCTGCCCAAGCCCCTCCCCACCCCTGGAGACCATGTTCTGTCACTGCTCCTCAGAAGGCCAGCCCTCCCAGAGTCTGTGGATGCAAGTCTCCGTCTCTGCACCCTTTCCTAACAGGAAGAATGCCAGCCCACCAATGCAGACAGAATGGGAGAGGTAGCAAGTGCCCATCCTGCAGCCCTCGGGGAAACAGGCAGATCGAGTAGATTTAATGCACACAGAGGTGGAGGTGTCCAGCGCTGGCGGGCCACACAGAGCTAACTGTGAAGGAAAACATTCTTCATTTTCAATGGCGACACCTGGCTTCCAGCACCTTAATGGGATCAAGTATGTAACGGGATCAAGTATAAGTGTGTAACAGGAGCCACGATACTGGATCAACCTGACAGCACCATGCCGTGGAATCCAGCACACAATAGCACCGACGCTGCGCTCCTGCTAAAAACGCTTAATTTGAATCAGAGGCCATGCGTGGAGCCTGCACTTCCCGCTTCCGGATGAAGAGGGGGTAGAGCAGCCAGGCGACCCACACCGGGCAGAAGCAGTCCTGACAGTGGCCGTTCTATAGTCGGTTGGCCAGGTCTCAAAAAAGTCAATGTCAGAAAAAGGGTGAGAATAGTACAAAAACAACTAAAACGATGCAACATTCGTAACAAGCATGAGCCTGATCGCGCCCGGGTCACTGACCATGGTGAGAGACAAGCCGGAGGCCGTTCCAGGGTGACGGAGTATGAATGATGTGACAGGCATTGCTGATGTTACAAGGTGTGACAGCACAGTGCTTCTCTGGATATTCCCGCTGAACTGCTGGAGGGTGAAATGTGTTGATGTTTATAAATTATTCTGCAAAATCAATATATACACATAAAGCTGATCTGACAAAATGTTAGCAATCTGGGTGGTGGATATGGGGAGGAAGTTGTACAATGTGTTCCCTTTCTTCGTATGTTTAAAAAAAATTCATCATAAAAATTGGAGAAAACTAAAATGTCCGGTGCTAAATAACTTCAGTATTTCTCCACCTCTGAACTTGGGCTATCAACTCAAATCTAGGCTTATGGGAATAAAATAAAAAGATAGTATGATTTATATCTATCTGTATACTTTTGAAAGGCACATGGCCCCAAACTTGAATATCATTTGAACAAGTATATTATATATTTATTTGAAATTTTTCAAAAAGAAAATGCATTCACTTTCCCAACACTAGGGCCTGCAGCCTGGCACACAGGTGCCCAGAGATTAGAGGACAGCCAGTTGTAAGACTCTCACCACCAGGGAGGCTTTCCCAGCAGAGCCTGGCATGCAGAAGTGGATTGCAGGAGCCAGTGGCCTGGAATGCGCCTACTGTAATACGCCTACTTCCTCCCACCCTCCCAGCCTCTGCCTCTGGACCCCAGGATACTTTTTGCAGTCCGTGGGTCAGAATTAATCTGCACCGTGCCTATTCTTAGCTCTGCTTTAGCTCTTATCGTGAGTAAACGTGCATGCTGTCTTTTTTGATTTTCAGAGACACTCTTCAAGCGTGCACTCAGGACAATGTGGAGTGAGTTCGCAGCCTGTGGAGGGAGCTCTCTGCAGGGTGGGGTTGGGTCGGGGAGCCACAGGGAAGGGTACCTGGCAGAAGGGAGCCCCCGGAACCCCGGGCAGTGTTGGGACTCAGGTGTGGTTCTCTGACAGATCACCGTGAGGGAAGTCGGTCACGCAGCACTGGAGAGAAATATGTTTACATATTGATCTGGATATGGATTTGCAAAATGAAACTTGGCCTCTTGTACAAAAACCTGTCTAGACTCTAATGAAGTCTCTGACTCGCTGTCCGAGCTCCCTCACAGTAAACATTCATTTGTTCAGAGACACCTACCGAAGCCAAACTTCCCGACTTTGATTGCGACTTCGTGATACTACATCGTCTGTCCACATCTTTGTGCCTCGTGCACCCCCTTTCTCCACCCTTAATGTCAGCCAGGAACCAACAGAAATACCAAGAATTGTTCTATGTACATTTCATATTTTGTAAGGATGTTTATAATATTCAGACACCTAACTAGTGTATTTGTGTTCATGTGTAACTGCATGTAGTGCATGTGTATGTATGTGTGTGTATGTGTAAAAGTGTATACATGTGCATTTGCACTTGCATATGTGTGTTTGTGTGTGTGCATGTCTTATGCACATGAGTATATGTACATATGTGTGGATGTGGATGCGTGTGCCTATGTGTGTTTCTGGGTACGTGTGTGGGAGTGCGTGGGTGTTTGGGTGTGCCCGGCCGCTGCACAGGGACTGTACTTTTGTGAGGGTGGTGTGCCCAACCTTCCATAGAACAGAAGCACCGGGACAAAGTAAATGTTTGGGCTTCTGTTCCTGGTTCTTGGCCCAGACCTAAAACTGTTCAGGATTGGGGGGAGGGGAGAGGGGCTGGAGTCAGTCACCGATGGCCGATGATTTCATCAGCGATGCCTACATACTGAGCCCCCACAGACACGCCTAAACCCCAAGGTGTAGGGGGATTCCAGGCTGGTGAGCGCATCTGTGTGCTGCAGGGGACACACCCAGAGGCCTGCAGGCTCTGGGCCTGCTCTTCCCACACCTGGCCCTACGCTCCGTTCCATTTGACTGTCTCCGAGTCGTATCCTGTAAAATAAACCAGTAACGCAAGTAAAGTGTTTCCGTGGGTCTGTGAGTTGTTTTAACATGTGACCAGACCTGGGGAGGGTCGAGGAACCTCCCAGGCTGCAGTGGGCCAGGCAGAAGATGCAGTGGGCCGAGAGGAAACTGGACTCAGCTGGGGCGGTGCGGGGGAGGAGCGTGCTCTGGGTGTGTGCACGCGCGTGGGTTTTCTGCGGAACCCGCATACTCTGGAAGCAAGAGGAGAAAGGATGGCCGGGCAGCCCTAGAGCTCTCCAGGACACGGACGGAGGACAGTCGTCTGAGGGCCGCTGCCTGCCGGAATCCCTCTGCCCGGAGCTCAGAATCCAGCGGCCCCGCGCCCGAGCTGTTGTCCCGAGGGTGCTGCGCCGCCGGCGGCCGCCTGGGAA